AAACAAGTATATGAGAAAACAAGTGGTGTTTTTTTTATTTGTTTACATATTGTTTATGTTTTGAATGTTTGGATTTGTATAATTTAAACCTGCACTGACTACTGTAACATGTTCCAGAAAAAGAAGCTATTTGTTCCTTTACTTGTGAAAAGTTGCACTTTTGCTAAGGCTTTGTGTTATTTTAGGTTTAATAAATACTGTTAAACCTTTTCAGAACTATTTCAGTTTGTGTAGAAAGGACTATCAATGCTTTCTGAACATATGCAACACCGTTTAAAAAATACCGCAATAATACCGAAAACCGTGATAATTTTGGTCACAATAACCGTGAGGTTAAATTTTCATACCGTGACAACCCTAATTGTTGCTGCATCTGTGATGTGGGCATTGTACCGATCTGTCGTGGGGAAGAGAGAGCTGAGCCGGAAGGCAAAGCTCTTGATTTACCGGTCGATCTACGTTCCAACCCACACCTATAGTCACGAGCTTTGGACTGAAAGAATGAGATTGCGGATACAGGGTGGTTGTGTGGTTTTCGACATGTAGCACCAGAAATGACACAGTAAGACAAAACACTGTCCAGAGGTCTGTGTGTGTGTGTGTGTGTGTGTGTGTGTGTGTGTGTGTGTGTGTGTGTCCTGCGTTATGTAACCCATCCTGTCATCACTAAAGCTTTTCTGTTTTGTGGACAGATTTTATTTTATTGTTTATTATTCAAAGTTAAGTGAAGCTCTCAATCTACCGGTCGATCTACGTTCCTACCCTCACCTATGGTCATGCGCTTTGGGTAGTGACCGAAAGAACAAGATCGCAGATACAAGCGGCCGAAATGAGTTTTCTCCGAAGAGTGGCTGGGCTCTCCCTTAGAGATAGGGTGAGAAGCTCGGTCATTCGGGAGGGGCTCGGAGTAGACCCGCTGCTCCTCCACATCGAGAGGAGCCAGTTGAGGTGGCTCGGGCATCTGGTCAGGATGCCGCCTGGACTCCTCCCTGGTGAGGTTTTCCGGGCACGTCCAACCGGGAGAAGACCTAAAGGAAGACCCAGGACATGCTGGAGGGACTATGTTTCTTGACTGGCCAGGGAACACCAGGATTCCCCCAGAGGAGCTGGCCTAAGTGGCTGGGGAGGTTAAAGTCTGGGTCTCCCTGCTTAGGCTAATGCCCCTGCGACCCGACCTCGGATAAGCAGCTGAAAATTAATGGATAGATGGATAGTTCATCGGCATGGCCATATTTGATTTTTACAAGTCTGACAAAAGATAAAAAACGGTTGTTAAATAAATTAGCAGACAATTGAAAAAAACCAGGTCAGACAACATAGCCTACTTGTTTTATCATAAAATACTGACATAAAACAGCCAGAGCTGCACTTAAAATATATTTTCTACATTTTTTTAATAGTTGTCAATAATTATTTATATCGATCAATGTGGATTTTATATTATCAAAATGCTTTTTGTCTGTATGGTCCAACCCTAGTAGTGCCCTCCTAAAGTGTGCCAAAATCCCCTGTAGCTTTCTTCTGTTAAAGTTGTCACTTTTTCTGAGTTGCTTAATGGATGGGACAGTTGCCCTTTCCCTTTGGGGTCTCAGTAGCATGTTGGAGAGCCGTACACAGCAACAACAGTTAGGGTCCTCTTCCTCATGCTGGTCTATGGTTACATTATGCTACAAAATGACATTGCCTCAAATGAAACAGCAGATGGTTGATTAATGCAAACAAATATTGTTGTAGTAAACTGTACCTTTTCTTAACATTGAATTTGAATACATGCTTGTGATTTCCAGATAAACAAGACTCACACATTATATGTTCACAATACTGTGTTTCTTTCTTTATCCAACCAATTTTAGTCTCTTCTTTTGTGACAGGAATTTTAGGCAGTGTCTTAAGGGGGTGGTTGGGGTTGTAAAGTACTGGGAATTGTTAAGAAAATCCCGCTTCTGCTGCATATTTATGAAATAAATTTACTTCCTTTTGACATATTGTGTCATATTTATAAATGTAAAACCAGAACAATATATATGACGCGCTGGAGGCGAACCTAGCAGAATTTTAATGCCCACCCACCATGTGAAGGCAAAATGTGATTCTGATAATCAAAACAACAGTTTAGAATTTTTGTCAAGCCCTCATTTTTTTCTGTAGAAAATAGTTTAGTATAGTTAGATGGTTTAATTGAAGAACAATTTACCATTTGGTCAAAAGCAGCGCTGCTTGGAGGGATAGAGTATCTCTCTGATTATTGTTCCAGCTCATGTGATGGAATGATGTCACTGCAAAATGATGACAAAACTGGGTCACAGTTGATGAAAAATAACTGCAATTTCTATAATATCAGGAAACAAAATTGAGAATATGCATACAAAAGCTGAAAAAAGGATGTTAAACAAAAGACATACGGTTTTCGCTGCAGTGGTTGATCAATTTTCTGGTGAAGGCATCACTCATCAAAAACCTGATATTACCACATCCTTTTGCATCCTTTCTGTTTCTTGTTTGTCTGTTTGCATAAGTGTTGGGTTTTATGTTTAACAAATCCGAGTACACTCTGTTCAAAACCCGATTTCTCCTGCTCTGATTTATTTTTAAAGTCATGAGACTGTAGTTGAGTCTTAGAGCTGTTTTGTACTGCATGTCAGCTTTAATAGCAGTTAAAATGCCGTAAAGCACAAACCCAAGAAATACAAATGTCTGCTGTTTATGTTCATCGTCATCCATAAAAACGCTTTTAGAAACACAATGGAAATACAATTTGAGGCATAAAAAATGCTCTAAAGCTAAACTAAAAGTCAAACTGCTGCTGTTTGTGGAGGCAAGCAATGCAAGTAAATTTCTTTCTCAAAAGCAGGATGTCTTGTTTATTTTATTATTATTATTTATTTATTTATTTTTGTCTTTTTAGAAGCTTCAGGCATAATTCTCTCAGGGACACTCACTTGCTCAATTGGAGAAATTGCCTGCGTCTCATTTAACGTGAATGCAGTCTGATAAGGAGTACCAGTTGGTGGCTGATGAGGGCAATGTTTCAACAATGTGTTCATTTCAGCAAGCAATCTGATTTAAACTTGCCATTTGTTTTTGAGTCATTATCACAGTTAGAAATATAATTTAGCATTTGAATGTTACTTTGTTTCTAGAGGCATGTGAAACAATGAACTGACATTTACATCATCCACTGGAAATCACTTATTTTACTGATGCAGTTAGTGTTTTTAATGCATCTTACAGTGCTATAAAGTAAAGTACCTCATCCCTCCTTGCCATACACTCATTTGGGTCCTGGTTGTGGCGACTGCAGCACAAGCCTGTCCACCTCAACCAGATCCACCCATGGTACCGCAAGACATTCCTGGACTGGCTAAGGGTTTCAATTCTTCCACTTGTACTAGGTTGACCCAGATGTCTCCTGCCAACAAGCCAGGCTTGAAAGACCTCCCCTCTTGTGACATCAAGGAGTCATCCTGACCAAATCCCTGAACCACCTCAGCAGGCTCCTCTTAACATGGATGAGCAGCAGCTCTACTTTGAATCCCTCCCAAATGTCTGAACTGTCTGCCCTAAATTGTTATCCACCGCACAGAGCAAGTTAATTTTGGCCATTTGTTTTTATTATCGATTGTTTTATTGGTCATTGCCCAAAAGTCATGACCATTGGTTAGGGTTGTTCCTTTTAACAGCAGACAACATAGTGCCTAAGTGACACAAAAGCTTGAAAGTTTGGTTAAACTTTATGAGAAAGGATGACAACAGGGCAACTTGCAATATTTACAAAGTAGATATTTCATCAGAGCGAGGAAACACTACGAATATGCAAAAGTATTAGCGCACAAAATATGTGATAACTTAAAGTGAACATTGTGATTTTGACCTGGTGAATTTCAATGCATGCAAAAGATCATGTTAGCATCATTTGTCCTAAATACACACCTCCACACTAGCAGACTCCAGCGACAAAATCCGACCTATGGTAAAATTTAACCCATTTTGCAAAAACTACAGCAACATTACACAGAACAAGAAGCTGACTCTGCCTTTACAGGGAACATATACAAGAACATTTGGAAAGACATTTCCGAACAATACCAGGTACAATTGATATTTTATGATTATTAAACAGTTATAACGCAGGAGACTGTGTGCAACAAATTTTGCCACCTATTGAACTACTGTGGAATTGATAAGGGAATTGGATTGATAGACAGAATTGACAATGCCATTGATATTAATAAAAATTCATCAATTCCCACCCCTGTACAACACTCCTGATTCAGTGTTTTAAGAAACTGTTCAGCAGTTTTTCAAGTTCTGCAGAACCCTGTTAATCACCTGTTGAATAAAATCAGGTGAGTTGAAACAGGACAGTGGCCCTCCCCAGTCCCCACCCCTGCCTTACAGGGTCTTCCATGATAAAAGTTGAGTTAAGGAAGTTGAGAACCCCTCGCACACTTTGGAAATGCAAATGCCATTCGCTATTTGTCACTGAAAGTCACAGCCCATGTAATATGGTTAGGTTCCTAAATGGTTGAAATGAACAATTTCACTGCAATGAATCTATTATTTTGTTCCAAACATTCTGCAGAATACATGTGGTGTAGACAAACTCAAAAATATTGTACATTTGCTGGTTGCTCATGTGATATTTTTGAGTCATCTTACATAAAAGCTTTGTCAAATTGAAATTTCTCTTTCAGGCTATAGTGCTTGTACAATCCACATCAGACCCACCAGACATTTTCCAGTGTTCTGGCAAGAAATAGTTTTCTCCCAAGAAACAGGAGTTTGGCGATAGATTATATCCTCTGCAAAAGCAGTACTGGGTTTTGAGGGTAATATTTAGGGAACTGATCAAGAAGTATTTTTTTACTAAAATATAATTATTCTTTCTTGGTAGATGCCTCATCCCTCCAGTGAGTTTCACGTTTTAATGAGAGTGTTTATTTGTATCTGTTTCCTCATCGCCATCTTCCATTTCCTTTTGCATTTTTGTGTCATCTCAGGTGTGGGCGAGCAGCTTCCTTCCCAACGAACCGGCTCTGTCAGACCGCTCCCAGAGAATGTACTACCAGAAACACGGAGAGCCGATGCTGGTTCGGTACGCCAAGCAAGAGGCAGAGAAAAGGGTACTGCTTCCACACATGCAGTATTGTTTTCAGATATTGAGATGCAATATCACATATTAGATGGTCTCCTTGATCCTTAACGGTTTACATGAACAGCTACAGTTAATCAAACCCTCTCATCTGAAATGATAAAAAATAAATGGCCAAACAGCTTTTGCAGTATCCCTTATAATAAATTACACCTTAAATCTGAAATGCCTATATTTCCCTCAGTGAAAATAAATACTTTAAAATGCATTCAGTAAATGAAGTACTTCTGCATTTAATATATTTTTGCATAAAAATATATCAGTATATTTTTTTTACTCCAGAACATCATCTGTATATTTTTTTTTTGTATTTTATTAAAGTAGTTATTCATGTTCTTAACATGCACATGTACAGCAAAGTCACAACCAAGAGCTTTGTTTCTCTCCGTCATTGATTTTAGTCAGGTTAAAGGGAAACTATTTGGCAATATTTTCATGAGCCCATTTTCCCCTCGTGCCAGAATCTACAAGATCGGGGTGAGTTTTGCGCTGAGCGTTGTGTAGCATACACGGGGTTATGAGAGGTGGTTAGCACCACGTGACCAGCTACAGATCAGCAATTGTAAGCTCAAACTAATTTCTGGCGTGTTTGATATTTTGCTCGTCCCTTGTGAGGGTATCGCACTGTTGAAGCGGCGCTGCAAGCGGCTGCGACCCAGAAAGTACCAGATGTGCAAACATGCATCAAGTTGACTCATCAGCTATTTCCCAATTAACACATGGGTTGTTTTTATTTATACACTTTTTTTCGCACACAATGGCAAGGATTGTCAAGAAAGTGTGTTTATGTCAAATTAAACTGATAAAACATTGATTTACTTTCTTTCTTTCGTCTTCCTCATCCAACCGCCATAAATCCCTGTGTGTCCTACAGCACTCCCGAAGAACTACAGACATCAATAACCACACAAAGAACTCTGGCATGTTGAATTAAAACTGCTGTTTTTTAGCATATGTTTAGGTCCGACTTGTTGCTCACAGCGTGATCAGTCAGGTCGCATCCGAGAAAGGGGTTGTCCAGTGCGAGCACGATTTGTGAGATTTGCACTGTGGAGAAGTCGTAGAGTTTGAGCTGAAGCTACGAGTGAAAAAGTTGCACAGTGTTTGCCCCACTTTAGAAAAAAATTGAGCTGACATACCTGGCGGTGCTGGAGTCTGCTTCCAGCACATTTCCTGCATGTTTTAGATCATGAACACAGCTGATTTGTTTAATTTAGTTATGAATCACTCTTGTAGACACCAGTGAAGGCTGGGGAAACATTTCAGCAGTCAGATTAAGGTGTTAAAAAGACAAACGCACAGCGAGGAGATAATGGTTCTACTAAACGGACGCTAGGGGTGCTAAAAGCAAGCTAAAACTGCCTAGTCCCCCATTAAAGCTGTTATAACAAATTTACAAATCTACAAACAAGGAAGGATTTGAAAGTAAACACAAATGCAGAATACTCACTCTTCCCCTCAGGTATCTTCCCTGAGGCGCTTTTGTCGGAACTAGAAACCTGCAATGCCGGACGAAGCGAGATAGTGCTAAACACCAGTGGCTGTTTTCTAGGTCCAATCGTATTTTGTTGTCCGTGACTTCAAATAGTGTTTTCCATGGTAGTTTGTCCTAAAGTTGAAGTGGTAATAGCCAACTGTTCTCCTTCTCTGATATTATTGAGCAGAGAACCCCTCACATCAGTGGTGTTTTGTTGCTAAATTCATGAGTGCGTAATGAATGAACGACCCAGGGAAGTGCGGAAGTGCAGCAAGACCAACAACAGGATGGTCCACTAGTTGCTTTCAGTCCGAAACGTGTTAGACAAATGCAAGAGAACCACTTTATTCAGTTTTTTTTAATCTCCATAATATATTTATAGCCATGCTATGTTAGAAGGTTGTGATGCATGAAAATGATGCATGAAAATGTTTTAAGCTAATTTGCTTTCCAAATTTCCCATTGCAGTTTTAATCCAATAGATTTTACCAAGTTATTCTAAAAGTTTTTTTATTTCTTTTTTGCTGAGCCTGTAAAAATGTCTAAAATGTACAAGATCCCTGCAAAACAGCAGTTCTTCCTTCATCCATCTACTTTCATCCTTTCCCTCCATGCCTTTCTTTTCCTCTTATTTTATCTTTCTCTCTCGATTTCCCATCCTCTGCCTGTCTTCCAGTCAATGAAGCGTGTGATTGGACAGCATAGATGCTCATTAGCATAATGCTGCAGCATTCGTCTTCAACCTGCATGAAGATTAGGGAAACCGTGTGTGTGTGTGTGTGTGTGTGTGTGTGTGGCTCCATTTAGCTTGTTATCAAATGTCTTATTAGTTAAGTTGTGCTACAAACTTTCTGTAGTTGAATTAACATCAGTGAATTCTTACCCTTGAGTGTTGAGATGGCTTTTCGTTGCACTTTGGTATGTTTAATGGTAGGTTATGTTCACAGGTAAAACCCATGAAATTGACTTCACCTGTGTTTATACCAAATGTGCATCCAACATATCTTGGGTTAATGAGATGTGTTTAATACATCCTAAAAAATGTTTTTGTTTAACCAACAGCACACTATCTAACATTATCAAATGTGTATCAAGTGTATGGGCTGGTATTAAAGAAAAAGCTAGCATTTGTCAAACACATAAGAGTTGTGAAGAAGTACACATTGTGAGGAACAAACGAGTGCCTACAAATGTTTTAAAATAGAAATGTGCAAATTATAAATCTGAATCTACAGCCTCTTTCTGAAGTTTTTTTTTTTTTTACCGTGTCCTGTCTGGCTGTGAAGCAAGCAGAATTGTTGTCTGAATGCTGGTGACAAGCCTTACAGATTTATTCTCAGGTGGAGCATCAAAGCGTTTGCTTTTAATGTCACGCCTGATACTTAAAACTTTATTGTTATTGTTGTTGAATAGGGTTGTCACGGTATGAAAATTTAACCTCACGGTTATTGTGACCAAAATTATCACGGTTTTCGGTATTATCGCGGTATTTTTTAAACGGTGTTGCATATGTTCAGAAAGCATTGATAGTCCTGTTCTACACAAACTGAAATAGTTCTGAAAAGGTTTAACAGTGTTTATTAAACCTAAAATAACACAAAGCCTTAGCAAAAGTGCAACTTTTCACAAGTAAAGGAACAAATAGCTTATTTTTCTGGAACTTGTTACAGTAGTCAGTGCAGGTTTAAATTATACAAATCCAAACATTCAAAACATAAACAATATGTAAACAAATCAAAGAAACACCACTTGTTTTCTCATATACTTGTTTTCTTCATTATCAAAATGAAAATCTAAAACTCCAGTCCACTCTTGACTTGAGCACTGTACAAGTCAACCTTAAAAAATATGTATTTAAAATAAATATCCACTTTAAACAAATTACTAAAATAACTACTACACTATGTAATCAAATCCAAATGTTCAAGTATAAATGGCATTGAATAAGTAAACAAATCCATGACAAGGAACTAATTGTATATTTCTCTTCATCATCAACAAATAAGATGCTTCATCCAGCAACAGGGTGTCCGTGACACGGTTTAAATGCTGGCAGAGGGCGCTGCGGCTGCAGTCTATAGTGACTCGTTGCATTCTCCCTCAACCAAAAGTCCTCACGTCATGCATTTCAGCTAAAATGCTAATGTTATCTTACCTTGCACTGGCTGTAGAGACGTGGGTGATCGTCACGCAGATGTGCCATGAGATTCGAAGTGTTGCTTCCTTTTGCAGACACTTGTTTCCTGCACGTTCTGCAAACGGGATAGCCGTCTTCTATTAACTGTCCCTCAGCATTTTTCAGAAATCCCAAATATGCCCATACTTCCGATTTAGTCTTCTTTGAGGGCTGATGGATGTCCTGGGCGCTGCCGTCGCCTCCTTCGGCCATTATTTCAGCTTCAAAGTTTTGGTGCCGTTGCAAATTAAAAAGTGCGTGTGCGCGCAGCGGGAACTTCAGCTGAAGCGACGGTGGCTGGTAAGGGTCATCGCGCCGAAACCGCGGCCACGGTAAACCCACCGAGATAATATAGTTTTTTAAAAACTGGACGGTTATTTTTATTGTCAACTTTTTTACCGGGGTTTACCGCTATACCGGTTACCGTGACAACCCTATTGTTGAATGCTTTGTAATTTCGACCAGACACGGAGACAGAGGTGAAAGAGAAAGGAAGAGAAAAGGTGGAGAGAGAGGAGGGGGGGGGGTTCCACAAAAATAAACAATGAACAAGAGTCTGCATCTAAACCTGCAGAAAAAGACAAAAAAAAAGCAAAAGGACACAAAAAAGGGACACAACAACAATACAACAAGATCTACCTATCACTGCGTCAACTTGATGAAAAAAAAAACAAAAAAAAAAATATATATATATATATAATCAACATTGCTTAACTGAAGAATCACGATAATAAATCACAATGCATTAAGTGCCCCCCATAGTCTTAAGACATGTGTTGAACGTGCCCAAGCCCATACTTTTGAGAGCACCATGTGAGCACCTGTGTGTGTACACGCGCTTGTTTATTTAAGGTTTCTCTATAGGAGCGTCCAACAGAGAGTGTGAGGGACCACAGATCCGCCCCCCAAAGATGCGCAGGAGACGGGGGGAGCTCCAAGTCCCAGAGATCCAGGCGTTGCCCCAGAATGCAGGAACCCCAAGGAGACTGCAACCAGAAAGGCCCCCGCCCCCCTCGAGAGGCACAGAGGATCGCCCCGGGGGGCCACAACCAGCAGCCGGCAGAGTCCCTGGAGATATCAGCGGCAAGCCCACAGGCCCGCCCGCAGCCTCCCACCCCCTAGCCGGCCGAGCCCGGGACCCAGCGACCCGGGACCCAGGGGTGACCACCCCCGCCGGGGACCCAGCAGAGCCCAGGGACCCAGACCCCACCAGGCAGCCACCGGGATCTATCAGGCTGATGCCAAAATCTTAAACCCCCAGACCCGGTTGCCACGAACACTCAGGCAGACCATGGCACAAGCCCCCACACCAGGTGTG